CACACACACACATACACACACACACACACACATACACACACACACACACACACACATACACACACACGTTTGCTTCTTTCTCAATCTAATAGCTTTGCACCATCTCACGTCTCTTTAAATTGCTGGAGGTTATGTTTGTTTTCGCACTTTTAAGAGACGTTGCGAGGGGGGGGGGTCTAAAAATACTGTAAGGATTAGAAACTAAGCTTACTAGTGTGGTGGCATTAATATCAAAATGGGAAATCTGGTCATAAAGTGAAATTTTGAATATTCATTTGGGTTGCCGTGGTAGTGGCTGCCACATTGGAATTTCATAAAGAAAAGTACTTTTGTTTCAAAGTTTATCCCGATGTTATAAAGGGCTTTAAAATATTATTTCATGTGGTTTTAGAGCCTACTGTGATTTTGTTTTAGTTGGTAAAATTAACACTTTTTGGTGTATGAGGACAAAATTGTTGGGGGTTCAGAAACGAGGTCCAAATCAGGGAAATATTTTGACCCCAAAAATGTCAGAAGATGGCGATTGATTAGATTTATAATCACATCATATTTTGTTCAATTTAAAAATAATAAATCTCACTGCTTTAATCACTGGAATGTTTCAGCTATTAGTATACCTAAAAATAGTACGTATATCTTTAAAAACTTTTCGAGAAATAGATTTTGGGGGGGTTGCTACCCCCTTGAAAATGTTCGATTTGAGGAAAAAGCGATAAAATCTTGGCGCACAAAACTTACCGAAAGCGTTGTTATAAGCTAACTTTTATTATTGCCAGTGTCTTACACATCTAAGAGACTAGGAAAATTTATATATTGAAGGCCCATGCTTCATACAGATCACCCCTCAGCTAGGTGTCTTTGCATCTCAAGCTGGAATCGATGTCTGCTTCGCTCTTTGTGATCCCATTTTGATAGATGCTTCCCACCCTTCATGGCACTTTCAGTTTGTTAGGGCTTTCCCTACCTTGGGGCCTGTTGTGGTGTTCTCCTATAGGGATATCCAGGGATTCCAAAATTGCAAACAGTCCTGAAGAGCCACGGTGGAAATGCAAGACACAGAAAGCTGTTGCCGTTTCCACAGAGTACATCGACGCTAATCGGGTCTCTTGGGGCAGCGTGGCAAAATCAGTGAGTTGAAGCACTCGTTAGCATTCTGTGTCTGTATGGACACACATCGTTAATTTTGATGAGATATGCGCTTTCCCAAATGGCAACGCTAATTATGCTACAATTTGTCTTATTATGGTTCTTTTGTGCTTACGATGCCCTACTTTCGTAGCCCCGAAGGCTCGGTGAAAGTGGTACCACGAGCAAAAGCCAGTGGGGCAGAGATGGTGTTGAGGGTTGTCGTCATATATATTTTCTGACTCCTCGTTCGCTCTGTATGGAGTGGATCGTATTTTAGAGCCTAGCAGACGTGTTTGTAATTTCTTCAGTGATCGGCTCCCTGAGTTTTCTGTTCAAGTCTTTCCTGTTGATGCTTTTTGGCGCTCTCTTAGTAAAAATGAGGAGTGATAAAGCGCAAATCTTTCCCCTCTCATCTACTTCTGTATCTTTCTTCATTTGGGAAATGTTCTATCTAGAAATGGGGTCAATGGTAAGTTCTTCCTCAAGCAAAGTTTCTTCTTCTCTTCTATCACTCTCAATTAATAGATGTTCCATTGTAATACCCAAGCCATTAGGTCCCGCAAATGTTCGTTTCGTCTTGTGTTGTGTAAAGGTCGTCGAAGCAGAGAGAGACACACAACACATACTGAAAAAGAGAAAGATGGAGCATTCGACGTAATATCCTTCTACATATGTTTCATCCTCGCTGGTATTGTAACTCTCAGCATTCTGTTGCTCATCATTGTCGTCACTGTTGTCTCAGGCTCAGAGAAGGTAGATCAAAGTTCTCATCTGGTTGCTTTTCTAGTCGTTTTCTTCCACTATTGCGCCCTCTTGGTGTACAAAGATGACTGAGAAACTTCCGTGGTCGTATTCGTACAGTGTTTATCTACAAGCAGCTCAAAATTGTACGTATTCCTTTATACATCTCGTGTCAAGACTGTTTTATTAAGTGCAACGACTTCTCGGGGATCGGCTGGAAGTCGGGCAAAAATCTAGACTTTTTCCGGATTGATCCGGAAATTCGGCACCACTGAACGAGCACTCGTGGGGGGTCGTATATCGCGGGAGGTGATCTCCACTCCGACGATATGACAAGTCCGCGCTTCTTCGAAGAGAGCGCCACCGGATTTTGAGGACACTTTTTTATGGCTCAAAGAGTGGAGTGAACCATCTTGTATGTAAGACTTTGGTTCAAGTACACAAGCGCTGTCAGGGGAGTTCATTCACAAAACGCTAGATTCTAATAAACTTGAGCATGATTAAAGTATAAAAAGGTCCTCTTGCGTATGCCCAGTAATCCGACTAAGGAACTTGAAAACAAAACCTTCAAAACGATGTATGTTTAACATGACTGGTTTCTGAGCGTGTACAGAGCTTGACAGACATCACAAAAAGGACATTTCAGGGCCAAAAATACGTTTCATCTTTTTTAGTGTTTTTTTAACACGATCTGTTGTTGACAGAGACATCAGGTGTTCAGTTTGTGACAGTATACGTTTCAGAATACACGAATCCATTAACTGCTCAATCTCGATCTGGGACTCAAAAAGAACGTAATTTGACCATGGCCTTCCCAGCATCATGCCATTAAGGAAAACATTCACACGGGACTTGAGAACAGCCGCTGATGACATAGTTGGTATCATGTCCTGGTTCAAATCCTCAGGAGCCGTTCTTGAACTTAGTGGATTGTTTAGAGAATTGCTCTCAAGTCTCTACTCCCTTCTGATTCGGAACCCTATTGGAGATGGACGATCAATTCGAAGATCACTTTTCTTAACCCCTTTCCCGCAGCATTTGCGATGTGCGTGACCATGCTTTGTGGCCGTCAGCGTAAGCAGCAGCTTCGTAAATTCTTAAAGCATTCCTTCAGAGGGTCTTCAGGGTCACGAAAAACACTTTTTTTTACGATAAGTTTTTGTTTTTGTGTTTTAGCTTGAAGAGATCTAATAGAAAATTAATTCCCCATGCAGTTTGATAAACAACACATAATGATAAAAAAGAGAAGGAGAAAAAAAAATGTTCTATTCCTGATCACGGTCAGGAAGTTAAAAATTGTCTCGGTCGTAATGACCTGGTAACGAAGAGTGAAAGGATTTAGCAGTGTTAATATGGGCGTGAAATCCAAAACCGCAGAATACAATCCTGATGAGATCAGAGTTTCTCAGGCGGAAATCCCAGAGCCGCCATAATGTTTTTTTATTTCGATATGGGTGTGGGGGGTGGGGGTGGTTTGTTTCGGTTTGTTGTTTTTTAAGGGTGGGAAGAGTTGGGTTGTTTTTTTCTTTTTACTTTTTTTGTGCAAGGTATTGTATCAGTTTTACGTCCTAATCGACACATTTCAAATTATTTCGGAGGCGGGCTGCTTCGACTTTGCCTGTCAGGCTGAACCCGAGCTCTGTGGGATACACCATCCCGAAAGAGAGTATCAAACACTTGATTTAGAAACTACCTCACTCGAAAATCAAACTCATGTCTTCTGCTTACGACTACAGAGAGCCTAACTATTAAACCACATATTTTTATGTCGGTAACTGAATAGCACAGAAATAAAACTGAAAAGAAGAAAAAGGGGTGATTCACACCAAAACACCCACAAATATGGCACTTGCAACACAAAAGGGTCACATTATATGTAACTGCCGAGATTAGAGGAGCTACGAGTGAATAACATCCAAATAAAAGAAAGAAGAGAGGAAAAGACGATAGACTTTTTATAAGAAAAATGGCACAAACCACGTACCAGAGCACTCACCAACCACCCACTCCCCAATTTCACGAAATCGGCTCATGTGTTCGCAGACATAAAAGTTTTCAGAGCGTAGCGGGCGGTCAACCCATCTAAAAACAAGTCGAGAGAGGAATAAGATATCCCTTTTTTCCTGGTTTTTTAGAAGCCGCTACCTCTCATATTAACATCAAACTCCGTATTCATGCCCTGGGTTTATCCATAGTGTTATTTTGTTATGGGTTAGAGGTGAGGGTAAGTGTAGGAGAGAGAGGGAGGAAGAAGGCCTATGATGTGTTGATTTGAAGAGTGGTGACTTACAAAGTCGAACCTGCCCAAGCGGTTAATTACTTTTCCATAACGGTCAGCTTTTCGAACTGCCACTGCTCCGTCACGCGTACTCAGATACATGTACACACACACACACACACACGCGCGCGCGCTCACACACTCACGCGCTCGCAAAGTACATACCCCCCAAAACAGAATACTCAACGTAGACGATCATGTCTA